CCCACCGCTCCCCTCCCCGCGCGTGCGCGCGCGCGTGCGGTGCCTGCCTGCCCGCCCGTGGCCGTGGCCGTGGGTCTCAGGCTCGTGAACTCCGGCAGCGTCGTTAGTTAGTCAGCAGTAGTCAGGAGGTGTGCTGTATGGCAGAGGCTAAGCTGGCCTGAGGGAGAATCCAAACTATCGGGGGCCCCGGGGGGCCTTCGGGACCACCATGGCAGGGGGAGAGGACATTCTCTGGGGCCTTTGTGGATGAAACCGACGACGTAGGAGAATGAGAGATGGTTACCATGCGCGAGACCTAGCCTGGCGGACTTAGCAAGGACTCTTCAGCCTACCAGTGATGGGGTTCTTGCATCCGGCACACTTCTTGGCCACAAAGTTCTTGTAGCAATCCACGCAGTAGTACTGGTCCTCCACGGCAGTGAAGCGCTGCCCGGCCAGCTTCTTAGAGCACGTGACACACACAAAGCACTCGGCGTGCCAGGGCTGGTCCTGGTAAGTGATTCCTCCGGATGTGATGGCCTAGACCAGGGAGCGTAGCACCGGATTCAGAGTCAACAACCACTTCGTTGAAGGCCTACTACGTGCCAGGCACCGAGCTGGGCGCTTTGGTATACGTTATCTCATCTCATCGCCACAACGGCCATGGGAGGCAAGGGCGACTAGCGGCCCCGGGTTACAGATGAAGACACCGAGGCCCAGAGAAGGCGAGCCCCCGCGTGAGGTCCCGCAGGGCAACTAGGCGGCGGAGGCGGGCCTTTAGAGCCTGGGGTGGGGGGTGGGGGCCCGGAGCGAGCGCGCCCCCGACGGCCGGCCGGATGCGGCCCGGGCGCCGCTTTCTCCTGCCACGGTCTCCTCATCTGCAATCCTCATCTGCAACCCGAGAAGAGGAATTCCTACGTCGAAGGGCTGTCGGGAGGACGGAGCGGGACAGTGTGTGCGCAAGTGCTCTGCCAACTGTCCAACGCTTCTAGAAACAACAGCGCAGAACTGCCCTGACAACGTACCTTGTTGCACTTGACGCAGTGCTTGGCGAATTTGGTCTCGTGGCAAGTCACGCAGTAGAAGTCCTCCCCTTTAGGGAAGAAGCTTCCAGTCCCGATGACTTGCTTGCAGTTGCTGCAGGTGAAGCAGTCTTTGTGCCAGACGGTCTTCTTGTACTCCACGTTTTGATCTCCTGCGGTGGGCGGGGGGGAAGCAGGACCGATAGCCCCACTGACGGTGCCCTGCAGGGGGGGCTGCATCCACTCCCCCCCGCCCGGGCCCTCCAGAGGGGAGGGAATGCAGGCCCTGCAGTTGTTGGCCTCACGCTTCCAAAGACCCTCCCCGCGGGGGGCCTCTCTCCACCGTCCAACTGGGGTGCTGCCGACCCAGCTTCTGTCAGGGGAGGGGACCCTGGCGGTGGTCACGTGCCAGGATTCGGTGCCTGAAGCCCCGCCCCGCCCCCCACGGCCTTGGCGGACCTGACCTGGCCCAGAATTCCACCCGGAGGAGGTCGCATGCTTTGCTCACTCACTCTACCCAAATGAGAAAGCGCTACATACTTTTCACTTCTTTCTCTTGCCACAGACCGCTCTCTCCAGTGTCCTTTAGCTGCCGCGTGTGTGCGTGTGTGCGAGCGTATATGCGTACGCAGATACACGGCTATATACATGCGTGCGTATATACGCTAGAACCTAAGCGCGGCTCGCAGCAGCATCACGCCACCGCCGCGAGCCCCCCGGCACCCTCTCCGCCCTGGGGCCTCCTCCCTGGCTGCCCGGGGGGGGGGGGCGGGGGAGAGGGGACACTACCTGCCACGATCGGCTTGAAGCACCCCTTGCACTTGGGGGAGTCCTCCCGGGTGGTGCACTTGTTGCACAGGATCTTGTTGTCCTTGGCCACAAAGGTCTCGTTGGCCAAGGGGTGAAGGCACTTGGCGCAGCGGAAGCAGGTCTCGTGCCAGTAGCGGTTCTTGTAGTGCACCTCCTGGAGACCAAGCGGAAGGGGACGGGCCGCTGGCAGAGACGGTGCGGCCGGGGG